CAAACGTACAAATGCTGGGCCGAGGAAGTTGAATGGGTGTAGATGTGTTTTTATCTCTACACAAACACGGTGGAACCAACAGTCTGGCGATTACGGGACGGGTTCTGGAAGCTGCACTCTGTGTTTGTGGTGACTCCAAGACTTGATCCTCCCAGTTTCATTCACAACAGGCACCAAGGGAGGTTGAGTTCAGTCCAGGGCAGACACAGGCCGTCATTGAAGGAGTTGCCCCAGTTTTACTTTGTACTACAATGATTTGTTGTAAATGCGGTATTTATTTTTATAGATCATTTGATTTCAAATATTCTTGATGACCTGGGAAGGTGACAGGGCCAAGTGATATCAGAATCAGGGGAGTTCACTGCACAGTGTAACCCAAATCTGAAGTATGTTCTTATATATTGTCTTGATGTACCAGGATCAATACTTGTGGTGATATTTGTTATGATGATGATATCAATAATGGCCATGGTGATGGTGATGATGATAATAATGATGATGATGATGACAATGATGATGGTGGTGATGACGATGACAATGGTGATGATGATGATACAGTATCAGTTACATATTCATACATTACACCTTGCTTTACTCGGAAAGCTGAGAGTCATCACACTGTATATAGGGCAGTTTCTATCAGTTTTTGTTGGAGAGTAATAAACAGAATACTAAACTCGCTTCTGTGAAATACCATTTTCATTAAACTCATGAAAGTTTTAATCTCAATCTCGCTTTCGCTTGTTTGTTACCAAATCATTAACTCGTTTAATAAAAATGGTATTACACGGAAGGTCGTTTAGTATCCTCTATGTATCGTAAGAAACAAAAAGACATTCTAACTGGTATAAGACAAAAGAATATATCGCCAACATAATCTAACATCATCTCCAATAGTGTTACCAATGGTGCAAGCAAAAGGGTAAGGATTGAAATTGAACATGGCAATTTCCAGACCCAGAAATGAAATGCCCCAGTGTCTGGATAACACACACAACTATACTGTCACAATGGCCAGGACTCCACCAGGACTTCTGACCATGCTGCTGACCAATCTAATAGTAGAACTGTTGTGACATTAATGCTGACCATTCCCTCCCAACCAAGCAACAAAGTCATCCATAAAGTCAGGTAGGGGGTGTGTTGGACAAAGAGTGACCACTGGCCATCAATCCATGCCTGTAGCTGTTCCTGCCAGACGGACCACCTCCTGCACTTATTCATGTTTATGACCAAACCCATTAACCCACCAATTACTATAGCTGCCTGTCTGCAGACATGTTGTGTTCTGGAACAGTTGTGGCTCTGGTTATTTGTTTTGTGTGGAGGTGGAGATATTGCTTGTGATGGCTTGTTTAACGCAGGTGGGACTTTAATTGTGTTCATTTGTAAACTTTGGACAAAGCTGGCATCAGGTTACCCATAGTGTGCTGATTCTAAGCTACTTAGTCTCTGAAAATATATGGTTGGTTGGTGTTTAAGGCCACACTCAGGAATGTTCCAGCTATATATCAGCAGTTTGTAAATAATCGAGTCTGGACCTGACAATCCAGTGATCAACATCATAAGCATTGATCTACGCAACTGGGATATGATGACATGTGTCAACCAAGTCAGCAAGCCTGACCACCCGATCCCATTAGTTACATTGCAACAAGCATGGGTTGCTGAAGACCAATTCTAACCTGGATCTTCAAGGGTCTTAAAATATATGATTTTATTATAAACAACAAAACCTGTCAACAGACCATTGCTTCAGCCTCCTTGGTGTTCATTAGATTTCTTGTTTTGTTCAGTTTATGGAACAGCTGAATAACGGTAAGATGGAATTGTTTATGCACCTGTCTTGGAAATCCGGGAGGAATACGTTTCCGTGATAATATATTTGCATACCAATATAACAGAATCTGCAACGTAATGCCGTTTGCATCATCTCGGCACAGTTACACACCTGTGATCTCAGTGTAATCTGTATCTTGCTGGTTTTTAGTTGATTATTTGGAAGGCAGGTCTTCCATTGTTCTTGTCTTTGACTGTGAAGCACATGTGGCTTGTGGAAACACGCTAGGGTTTCACTTTGCGGACTTTGTCATGTTTACAACCATAATAATAAACAAGAGTGTCCAGACTAAACTTTCCCTGCTGACCGTGGTGTTTACACTGGAGACACTGAACCTGCCATTACTGGCCATCCCTGGTTGGTCCTGTTTGTGTTCAGTGAGTGGATGAAAGTGGTCAGGAGGCTGAGTGGTGAAGGTGGTGACAGTGTGGAATGGATGGGGAATGTGGCTGGAATGGTGGGCAGGTTTTCATTCATGCTGATTCCATCTGGTCGTGTTATCCTTTTAGTGATTTTATAAAGCTTGTTACTCCTCTAAACCATTGGGTCAGTCTGGACTTGGTATCCATCCCGATACCCATGCCACTGCCAACACTCCATGTCCACATCCCATACCATTAGCCCACAGCCTATACCAACCCCCTTGCCAACAACCCACACACCCATGCCCACACCCCATGTCCAACATCCCAAATCCCACACCAACACCATATGCCAATGCCCCACACCCACAAACCATATCCCAAACCATCCCTCACACTATTAGCCCACACAAACATCCAACACCCATGCCCCACACTCAACACCCATGGCCCACACCAACACCCATGAGCTTGCCCAGACCCATAGCCAACACCAACACCAACACCAACACCAGCACCAGCACCAGCACCAGCACCCAACAACCACACTCATGCCCTTGCCATGCCCACACCCACACTCATGCCCTTGCCCACATTCATGCCCTTGCCATGCCCACACCCACACTCACGTCCTTGCCCATGCCCACACGTCCTTGCCCATGCCCACACCCACACCCAATGACCACGCCCATGCCAACACCTACATCCCCACAAAATACCCACACCCACACTTGCTCCCACTCCCTCTCCCACGCTCATGCCCATCCCACACCCATGCCCACATCCACACTCATGCCCTGCCCCTGCCCATGCCCATGCCCACCCCCATGCCCACTCCCACACCCATTGCCCATGCCCACACCTACCTCCCCACTCAATACCCACACCCACTCCACACTCACATCATTCCTATGCTTGTTTGTTGCAACAAAGTGGTAAATGTCCAAGCCCTGACCTGTTTAGAGCTGACACCCAGTGTCACAACTGAAATATTGTGAAAACAGTGTTACCAGGCTACTGAACACAGCACCATAATTCCTTCTCTATGTCACAATACCAACACTCCCGCAGTCCACATACAGACCGCAGACTACCCTCATCACCCAGTTCAACAATTTTAATCCCCCCTCCTCTCTCCCACACAGCACAATGCCCAGACACACTCAATACCACCACCCTCATCCATGCCCACTTTACCCCACCCCTAGTCTACACTGTCACAACTTCCAGACACACTTAACAGCACCATACTAACGCTTCCTTTCTTCCATCCAGGGGCGGTGGGGTAGCCTAATGGTTAAAGAGTCCACTCGTGATGCTGGTTTGATTCCCCACATGGGTACAATGTGTGAAGCCCATTTCTGGTGTCCCCCGCCGTGATATTGCTGGAATATTGCTAAAGGCGGCTCACTCACTCACTCACTCACTCACTCACTCACTCACTCACTCACTCACTCACTCACTCACTCACTCACTCACTCACTCACTCACTCACTCACTCACTCACTCACTCACTCACTCACTCACTCACTCACTCACTCACTCACTCACTCCACAGGTGTATACATGTACAATACAAACAGACAGAATCCTCACCACCCAACATGCTGTATTTCCACAATCCCATCCCATTCCCCAGTCCAATCCCACTCACACCCAGAACCTCACCCAAACATGTCATTCACGCAGTCCCCATCCAACATCACCCCACCCTCCCCAGCCATCATTCCCCCCTACTCATGTCCCAGCTGTGCTCCACCACGCTGTCGCGTGTGCCATGACTGCCCCTCCCTCCCACAGACCTATGCCAGGCAGGCTCTCTCTGCAGGCACACTCCACCAGCCCTCCAGCCTGCCAAGCCACGAGTCGGCTATCTCTCCATACCACCTCTCACTGCTTTTTACAGTGCGTAATCCTGGCTGTTAGGACCGAGCTGTTAGCAACAGTTGGGAAAACACTGGTCTCCGCTGACACTCTTGAAAGAATCTGTTCCCCCAGTTGGAAATATGAACTCATCTGTCAAAAAATTGCATTCCGTCAGATTTGATTTTTGTGAAGAATCTTCAAAGTGACACTTAGAATCTGGAACCGACTCTGGCGCCGATCCAAACCTTTTATGATCAGATGGGGTTCCAGGACATTATTGTTATGGATCTAACACAGAAGTAGAGCCGTTTTGACAGCAGTGATATGAGGAACAGTTAAAACGGGATAATATTTTCAGAACCTTTTACACAGAACTAAACTACAAACAGAAACAAGTAACTCTCGCTGAGTTTATTCGGGGGAAAAAATCGGTGTTTCCCAGATGTTTGATGTTTTTGTGGATGAGATAATTTACCGAAGTCTACCTTTCCCGCCTCTCCAAAGCAGACAGGATATCTGTGGAACTGATCTCTTAGACATGAATTAGACTCTGGTACCAGTCAGGATCAGACTGGTGATTGGAGGTGTGATGTTCAGCCAGTCAGGGGGGATAACTCCAACAAGTGAACCTCATGAGAGGGCTTGCGTGACATCAGTTTGGTCAGGTGATTCAGCTTGGTGAATGTGCTTATTGCATGTGCAGACCAACTTTGCCAGGAATATTTACCAGGAACTTTGCCAAACATTTTTTACCTGTCCTTTGATGATGGAACTGATAGTGGCCATTGCTAAGTGAATTGACAGAACAGTGAAAGATTTTTTTTATTGAAGTGTTGATGTGAACTGTTGAAGAACTTGGATATCATTCTACCATTTTTATGCCATGATGGATTTGACAAGAATGTTTGTTTTCTTCTTTTTCATGTTAACAGTGCCAGAGCAAGGAAGGTAAGCCATTAAGTTTATTTGATTGTTTCAATTTAATTATTTACTTGTGAATGTAACAGTCTGTCCAGGTAGGTTGGTGTTTAACGTTGTAATGCCTTTACTCAGGGATGCAGATAAACAAAAACAATGTTCACTGAAATCACATAAAACTCCTCCTATGTTCTTGAAGTTTTTAATTTTATAATTAATTATTAATGATCTATCTGCTTTTCAGTTTTTATGGTAAAAGTTTAACTTACAGAAATTTGAGATTATTCTGACTTCAGATATCTGTCATCCACACATAATCCCTGTGTCTTGTTTCTAGACATCTTTAAATCTGTCTCTTTAGATCGGTTGTCACAACTTATTTATTTTGAGGAAGTGCCAACATTATAATTTACATGTATGAATAGCTGTATATGTATCCATGGTTAGGGCACCAGTGTTTTTTTACAGCCCTTAATAGTGTCACAATTTTTTGACAGCTTGATAGTGTTCTAATTTATCCCGGTTAATGCCTTCAAGACAATTGTACTTAAAATGTAGGTTAACAATGTACAAAACATTCAGTATTCAAGGCTGGGATTATCACAATGTGTTTCAAGCACCTTTGTGTCATTTCCATCCTTGAATACTCTATGTTTTCACACCATTAACCTGTAAACTGTTCTCAGTTTGATAGGAAACTAGTTTATTATGGTTAAATACCTTCAAGACACTTTTACATGAGATAAGGGCAGATGTGTTGCATAACCAACACTGCCGAGAGCCTTCGGACCAGCCCATTGTTAATCATTCTGAAGTTTATAACTCTCATCAATTAGTTCTTATGTTATCTTTATGGGATTGTCAATATCAATATTTGTGGACACTCTAATTCTTTTCAAGTCCAGTATTTATACCTAGATGGATATCAGAACTGACAGATTATGGGTGTGAATTCCCATACAGCATGGCATTTGACCACTTTCACCAGGTGCTTGATAGATGAGGCGGGGCTTACTGCCTCCTATAGTTTATTGCATGCAGGAGCACTTTGTTTGTAATGGTGTCATTCTTTGTTTTATAAGAGGCTGTTAAATTTTGTTCCTGAAATTCAACAGTTAAATTAATGATGTCTAAGGATTGTTTTGATAGATTTCAATGTTTCTGGTATAATTACTTGTATGTGTGTTATGAAAAACTGTTATAGTGTATAGTGGTTTTTAATCAATTCCATTATAATTTGAATTTGTGTGACTGGTAAGAAAAAAGCTCCAAATTAAAATCAGTTATCTGTGTACGCATAACCTAACAGACCAACTTTGACACATGATCGAAAAAGACAGCACGCCCCTGAAATAGACGAGTCATAAACAAGCAATCGCGATGCCCTTACATCAGAAGATGCCATCAAGCCATGCAATTCTGGAACAAAGCATTGCTATATCTCCCACATTACACCATCAAAGACTTTGGTCTATAGTCAAAGACACCTTCCCCATTCCTGGTACATTCTGACAAGTTTGCCCGCAACGCCAACGTTCATTGCATCTCATCAATGACACCATCAGAGTGCTACAGTATAAGCTTGAAGCCGTCGTGAACCCTGAAGGTGTAGATCTTGATTCCTGTGTTCTTAATGTTAGTAAACATCAGCCGGGCTGGTTTTGATCTTGCCGACCTCCTCCCCGTGTGTCTTTAATGTTGAAGCAGAATGACCAAGTAATAAACGCCAAAGATGCTACATTACAGCATCTGCTTCAGCTGTTGCCTCAGTGAACGTGGATTGGTTTGTCAGCCTAACCTGTTGAAACTTACACTCAGCTCCACTCTCAGGTTTGGATGTCAAGGAAGTGAAATGTGCAAGGTTAGATAGGCTAGTTAATTACCTGTCAGACATGACATATACATGCAATGTACGAGGTTATTGTGACCTTAATCACCGAGATATGAAATTATCTATGTAGAAAGTTCTAATTTTGTATGTATGATTAGTTGGCAGATGAGAGGTGATATGAAGCAAAACAAATTATGTTTTTAGTGGAAGAAATTAGATTTGATTTTTAATGGCTAAATTATGGTGCTGCTTAGTCGGACATCGCCAATAGGATACCATTGGTGAAGAAGTGGTAGGGTGATATTTGAATATTTTGGGCAACTCGCGTTCAGTGCTTATTATAACAGAAATGAATTTTAACACCAAAACATCAATATTAGTTTAATATTCTTATCTGGGTACTTTGAAAAATACTTCAGATCCAATTCTTGCATCATATATCTAAAACTTTCATTCTATAACCATTGGTTTCATGGCTAATATAGATCGATGTAATTGTTTTCTGATATTAAAACTTTGGAAAATTTCAAATGTATTTGGCATTATGTCATACTCCATTACTAGAGGAAGGTTTAGTCAGAATCCAAGGGGAATTCCAATTTTATTCATTAAAGTCCCAGAACTCTTTGAAATTGTTCATGAATTAAGCCAATGTCTCAATTAGCCGGAAGTGGTACTGAGTCATTCCACAAAGTAGCCACTTTGTCAGCCGGTCCCAGATGGCGCTGATTTCAACAACAATTTTCAGCCAGTGAAAATTTTGTGTTCAACTTGTCCCCCACCCCAAGTGAGGGAACGGGGCTGGCACTGTTTTCTCATGGGTCTCATCCACAGACCAGCTCCTGGGACCTGGGACAGGCCTGGGACCAGCCCAGTCGGGGACAGATGGTAGCAGATGCATCAATATGTGTCAGCCTTCAATCATCTGGTTTACCAATTAAAATATTTTCGTTTGACAGTCTTTGAAGTATTCAGACATGAAGACTGCAGAAAATTTGATATTATGGAACAAGTTTATTGAAATGTGTTGTTACGGGGGAAAAGATACGTTATCAAAGAAGTACTTCAATAGATGTTTATTTTCCCAGCGCATAAAAATATTTCGTCACCTGTGCGTCAATCACAGCAAAGTACAATTTCAAACTTAAAGTTTTTTTAAGGGAGAATAACTTCAGGCTGTAAAAAGTGAGGAAGTGGATCAGTAGATTTGATATTGTCTTCTGTGATGAGACTGATGTTTAACTTTAAGCTGGGACCATCCTTAATCAAGATAATATCACCTATTATTCTGCCGTTAGTCATGTGAGGCTTGTCGCTGGTGTAATTAGAAGTCCATCCCATACATGACTTGACAGTGAGATCATGACAAGTTTCAAAACAGATGTCAATATACCATTTGACAGTCTACTGTGTGGTTAAAGTCTTTGCTAATCACACCAAAGACTCAGGTTTGATTTTCACATGGGTTCAGTGCATGAAGCCCATTTCTGATAATGCTGGAATATTCCTGATGGAGGTGTAATACCACACTCACACATACAGTGCACACTATTTCCATTGATGTGTTTCTATACAAAGTGGTTATAGTAGCCACATTGCCTTGTATTACATGTTGATTTTATGAAAGTATTATGTAGATGTGAAAATATTACAACCTGAGACACCAGAAATGGGCTTCACAGATTGTACCCATGTGGGGAATTGAACTCGTCGTGACAGAACGAACACTTTAACCACACGGCTACCCCACCTCCCTCGCAAGCAAGAAGGGTAGTGCACCTTTAATTGATACACATGTATGCAAAGTAGTGAGTGAGTGAGTTTAGTTTTACGCCGCTTTGGGCAAAATTTCAGCAATATCACAGCGGGAGACACCAGAAATGAGCTTCACACTTTGTACCCATGTGGGGAATAGAACCCGGATCTTCAGCGTGATGAGCAAACGCTTTAACTACTAGGCTACCCCACCACTCTCACATACAAGTAATGTCAGTAGCCAAACATTGGGCACTGAGAGCCACAGATCGGCTAAATACTCTCTGTATGATGGCGAACCTTTAACAAGAAGGGTAGTGCACCTTTAATTGATACACATGCAAACTAACGCCAGTAGCCAAACATTGGGTGATAGCTGGCACTAAGAGCCACAGATTGGCTAAATACTCTCTATGATGGCGAACCTTTAACTGCTCCAGCTTGTAAAACAGCAGCGGGAGTCACAACACTATTAGATGTCTGACATTGTACGTCTCCGCCTGTAGAACAGGCACTCTGCTTATATTGGAGCTCTGCCATTGTGTGTAAGTTCTTCGCGTAAATACTTTTACATAAGTGTGAGTTGCTGTGAGCTTTCTCAATGAAAACATAAAGGATTGTTTACTAATACTAGTACCTCCCCGATCTCTTTGTCAGCTGGCATGGCAAGGTAGCAAGTTTGAGTGGAGAAACACCAAGTCTTTCACTATGCACAAGAGTGAGATGTATATATTGTGATGGTATGTTGGGAAATTGTTATAAGTCTGTTGTGTTAGACTGATGGCAATGTAAAGAGTGTGTTTTGCTAATATCGATACAGCTTTGTAAAAACAAAAAACTTGCCACAATTTTGGGTAACTGGGAGAAGAAGTACTTTGTGTAAATAATTGGTAACATAAGAAACAAAGTTATTTGTTTGGGATTGGTGGTTAAAATACCAAAGGGTATTGAATGTACTTCAGATATGTGTCACTATGGACATTAAGAACAGAAGGTTGTATACCATATTTCAGAAATGGCGTGGTGTTTGCATTTTGTGTTGAAAAGATTCCAGGAGTCTGTCACAGAGACCCTGAAACAACTATTCCTAATGCAGCCTATGTAAGTGTGGTATATGTGGCAAGTCAACAATTCCACAATTTCAGGAAATAAAAAAGTTGCTGAGCCCAGACTAATTTTATTTCTTGTTTTACAGATTTTTGTCCTCAGAAAAGCTAAAGGCAGGAGGGGAATTTAAAAAAAAATCACCCATCAAAGTAATATTCCTTTTAAATACTAAAAGTATTTTGCTTCTGGCAATTTATGAAGTGTATATGGGGCCAAAAAAAAAATAAATAAAAAGCATTGTCTTGTAAGTTTACATTTTTGGCCAATAAAAACATTAGGTTTATATTTTTTGAGCGGGGAAAATTTCATTATTATTTTTTTTCTTATTCTTGAAAAA